GCAATCATATATATATTATATTTTTTTTTTCTCTCTCTTTTTTTGTGATTGAGGAATATTTTGTTCCAATTTACTTTGTGTTTTTTTTTTTTTGATAGGGTGGAGTGTTATCACAATAATAATATATAGAAAAGAACATCTGTACAAAGAAATCTATTTCACCCATTACGCTAAACACATCAAAGGAAAGTGAGTCTTATACACTCTCATGTAACTCAACATTAGCGATAATATAAGCCTATTACTACAAAGTTGAGAAATATTAAAACAATTAATTTCTCTATTATTTTCATATTCTCTAAAAATATATCGGCAGCCAATGAAATTATGAACAAACGGAGACACACATATTGTACACGAATATTTAGTCACAACTATTAATAAGTAATTTTAAAATATCACGCCTTCAAGAAGAAAATCCTAACATGTCTAAATATCTGTTATCATATAAAGAAGAAATATGAACAGATGCATGAATACATACATACAGAGAGGATGATACATAATATTAAAAATATTCTTCTATCCATCGTAAAACCTTATTACGGTTTCATGCTGTAATAACTTATTATCCGTGCTGCCTATAAATATTTCGACCATTCTGAAGGGGGTGTTATATAATAACCTTTTGCAATGTTAAGAAAATATTCTTAAATATATGCTTGGTTGACTATATGCTTCTTCAGATATAACACAATGAAAACAAAATAATAAAAAAAATGTAGCTATGTACTTCTATTTCAACAAGATACGTCAGTTGCAAATATTCCAAGACAATCTGCTGCCTAAATTCCTATTTATGGATGAAATTATTTCAAATTTCCTTATATTCAAAATCCTGAAATATTTTGACATTTTTACTATATCCCCCCCACTGCACATTTTAACCCCAACCAATTTTCAGATATATACATATTTTTTTAACCCCAACTTCAGTGGTATATGTAACATTTAATCTATTACGAAATGGAGTCATATAACTTTCAACCATAAAATATAATAGAAATATAATCCAATGACTTAGAAAAATAATCTTTCCTTTTTGTTTCAGATCTAATTCAACAAAGTGTCTACCAGAAAAGGGAATCTTATGTAATCAATTCAACGCCTCCGTAATATCACCCATGACACGATATTATATTTTTTTAAGAGAGAGAGAGAGCCATTCACTTCAGAAGACACATTATCTTAAGGTTCTAAGCCGAGGTATGAGGTAATTACACTATATTATCCAAAGACGATTTTTTCCTTCCCCCTCTTTATAAAAGCTCCGAAAGTTGAACGTTGACCATCTCATTTTTGTCGATAATGACACCCCGGTTGACAAGAGCCCATCACGGCCCTAGTTAGCTGCATAATATCAATTATCTTCCGGTCGCTAATTGCCGCTAGTGTCACCTGGAATGTGGTCCCCGTCGGCTAATATTTTCGGAGTGGCAAATCTCGGCCCTTCAAAGAGTGTTGCGAGGGGGGAGAGGGGAGAGGGCGTCGTGAAAAGGGCGGCCACAGGAGAAGGGAGAGCCGCGTGTGTCGGATCACATTCGTTGCAGGAGTCCGTAGTGTGTCATATGATCCCCCGGTGTGTCACCTCTGTCCGGCGAGGTGTCACACGGCGTACTTGTGTCGAGTGGGGTTCTGCGGCCGCTCCGACACGCTCTCGACGAAGCACGTCATTTGAGCCCCTTGGCGAGCGACTGGCCAGCGGAGGAGGGAGGCCAGAGCACGGAACAAGGCGAAAGTGATGTCTCGCCGCCAATTCCGAACTCAGGTATGTGTGCTGGCAGGGGCACCCCCTCCCCTGCCCCTGCCGCCCAACCCTGTCCCCAAGCCACCTACACGATCGCTAATGTCCGCTCCCTTCTCTCTCTCTCCGTCTCGTCTCCCAGCTTTAGCGTCCTCCTTCTCCCATTCCCTCTCGTTTCCCCCCATGCGAGGACTGGGCACTTACCTTTCTCATGGCTATCCGATTTGAATCTGTCTGTGTCATTGGGTTTGGACTCGACGCCCAACATGTTTGAGGACGAAAGGCGAGAGGTGCGTCGATTGTCACTCCCGTGTGCTCGTCACATTCCCGACCAATGTCACTGTCGCTCGTGGCGTGAAACACTCACTCGGTCACCAACACTGCTCATAGCAAGGCCGTGTCACTGCCTCACATCACAGGCTCCCTTGGGGGTCACACCACTGTAAGCTCTCCGACTCGAGCGCGCGATTATCCTTGGATCAAAACACACCGAAGTGGCGGAAGGTGGAGTAGAGAGAGAGACTTGTACTCGAGGCGAAGGTGGAGTTGGCCAGGTGGCGCGGAGCGAGGGACTGACTCTAGCGCTGTGCACTCGCCACCTGGTCGCTCAGAGCCTGCCGCTAACTCCGCCTCTTGGTGACACTCAAAACACTGTGTGCACGGACCCTTCGACGTGTGCACGGCCTGTCACAACACTTTTCTCCCCACACCCACGTGCACACCAACAGTACACCGCTGCGTCCGTCGTGCACAACG